AAGTTTTCGTGCTTTTTCATATTTTTGCCAATCACGTTCACCCTAAATAAAACATTTTTGTAAAGTATAAATCTTCATAATCTAACATAAAGAATTAACAAGTTAATTAAATGAAACGGTATGTTGATTCAACATTAGTGACAGTTATATTTTATTCAGCAGACAGGTTGCACTACTCCGAAAATAGGTGTTCACTTTCCCGACGAAGAAAATCTGAATAAAATACTAACTAATAAAAGTCATTTTCATGTGAAGAAAAAATAAAACTAACAGTATTATTTGTTTATCGATATGTTTGTCTATTTAGTAATGAGAAATCATGTTCAAGCAGAAATTCACTTATCACTGTTTTATTCAGAGTTTCTCTTTGAAGAAGATGAGCACCTATTTTAGGAAGCACAGACTCATAATACCTAATCCGATAACCACAAACTGAGGGAAGGTCAATCCGATCTTTGAAGATACGCCGTTCTTACACGAAATAAAACACCGGTACTCACTATCTAACAAATATTTCTGATCATAATGAAGTTTTTATTAATGAAAAAAGAAACTCGTTCTATGATGAATGCTGGTTCTTTTTAAACATCTATGAATATACAAACCTTAACACGGGATGAAGCATTCAACATAATATATTTATTGTTTCCTCGAATATTTTCTGTCCACATAACAAGCCATGATACTTTATTATCATGTCGAACTTCTTTCCAACGATGTCCTTCAGGTGGTTTAGGTGTTTGTGCTTCTCTACCAATATTAATAATAATATCTTCAGGTCGAATACGTTTTTTAACACAACCCATTTTTGGATGTTCACCACGACCACGAAATAAACCTGGTGGTTCAATTTTATAATTTCCAACTGGTTGTCGATGTTTGTCCCACATACAATAACCATATTCTTTACGTAATTTTTCATTTTCATCTTTTAATTTTTTTTTCTCTTCTTTACTCATAGTTTTTCTTTGTTCACTTTGTTCTTTATAATAATTAGCAACTTGTGTAAAATCACATTTACGTATATCTTTAATCAATTCACGTTCGGCTTGTGACATTGATTTACGCCAATCAGACATAAAATTATGATTGAATACTTCTTTTTTTGTATAATCATGATCAAGCATACGAGCATAGAATGTCATTATTTCTTCAGCTGGTTCTTTTAACTTAACTTCCGTACCTAAGAGAAAAAAATAATAAAATTATTAGAACAAAAACAAAAAAAAACAACAAGTCAAAAGAATATTACAAACCATTATAAAAAAATTTCACATGTGCTGGTAATGATTCATAAGGAGGTGGAAATAATGGACCTCTATGTTCGAGTGTTGTCCATTTACGACCATCAGTATATTTTTCTTCTTCCCACCTACACAAAATTAAAAAAAAAAAAAACAACGTAATTTCGAAAAAAAAAAATAATAAGCAAAGAAAGATTTTACCATCGCCAAACATCTTCTTCCTCTTCTTTTTTCTTTCGTCTTCCAGATGTTTCTTTCATTGGTGATGAACTTATTGTAGGTTTCGATTCTTTTTTCGGTATAACTTTTTCTTGTTTGATATTTGGTGATGATTTTTTAGTTGGTAATGATGATGGTTTAACATCTGATTTTTTTTCTTTTTTTACAACAACTGATGATGTTGATTTTTTTTCTATTTGACTTTTAGCTTTTTTAGCCTAATAAGAATATAATAATAAATATCGAAGAAACAAAGAACTTTAAAATGATAACTTACCAATGGAATATCATCGTCATCAGTATCGACATTTGTACTTTTACGTTTTGGTGGTGATGATGATGATGATGATTCAGATTTTGGTTCCTTTTTAATAACAGGCGTTGTTGATTCCTTTTTAATTACAGGTGTTGTCGATTCTTTTTTAATTACAGGTGTTGTTGTTTCTTTCTTAACAATTGGAGTTGTAGATTCTTTTTTAACTGTAGACGTTTCTGAAGATTCTTTTTTTGTTGGCGTTAATACAGTTTTAGATTCATTTTTAATTGTAACAGGTGTTGATGAAATTTCGCCATTTATAGCAGTAGCCTTTTTAGCCTATTAAAAGAAAGAATATGAAATAGAAAAATGTTCATCATTTTTGTTCTATTCTTTTTTTGCTCTAGGTAATACGCACAATAGCTCTGATAACAGCTCGAAGTAAATATTCAATAGCATAGTCAACAGTGAGCTGAACAGGCATATTATGAGTATATGTGAATTTACATATGAAAATGAACAACTGAATAAATAAGTCAAAAGTCAAAAAAATAGGCGGGATTAAAACAAAAATTTTGTTTTTGTTTATTTTTTCTTACCAATGATTGGTTGTCATCATCCGATTCGTCACTACTTGATAAAACTCGACTTTTTCGTTTTATTGGCGAACTTTGAATTGATTCTTTTTTATTAATTATAGTTGATTTCGAAGTATTTCCATTTGATGTTCGTGATGTATTATTATTCACTTCTTTTTTGATGGATGTTGATGATGATGCTGATGATGAATTCTTAGTGCTATTTGTATTTGTCGAAAGGACGGATGATGTTAATTTTGGATTGGCAATAGTCGTCATATGTAGAATGTTTTTTTATGTGGACAAAGAAAAAGAACCAAACTCAAATAGATTGATAGAATGACAGAATAAAGATAATTATGGTTCTGCACACACAATGAACAAACGAACGAACGGATTGTTTGTGTGTGCGTGGGATTTTATTTTGTGTAAGGTAGACAACTTGTTGGATAAAAACATGATTCATACAAGATAGGTGTGTTGTGATGGTGCAATAATAGAAAATGTAATAGGAAAAATTTTGTAAAATATAAAAATATCATTGTTTTTTATTTTCGTTTAAAAATTTATTTTATTATCTTTATTGTTCAAGATAAATTATAGATGTCACTAGTAGTTGGTTTTTCATTTTGAGTTAAAATACGGTCAATTTGTATGCAGATCGATCTCAAATGAATAAATCAAAGCAGAATTCTTAGGAGATTTCATATTTTTAATAAGTCTTTTAACAATCGACATACAATGTCATTTCCTTTTTTTTTAATTATAAGCCAAAAAAGAAATATAACCTATGCACTTCCTAGATAATACATTCTGTTTTTTTTTTCATGAATAAACTATACAAGAATACAATTATTATATGAATATTTACATGATTATATGATGCTCATTTTTACATAATTATATATTTCAATTATCTTTTGCAGTAGAAGAATCAAAGCACAGTTGGTTTTTCTTTCAACATGTAAGTATTATAAGACAATATGCAAAGTAGAAAAGGTTCCTTTTCTTATCTGTAGCACGATGATGTAGACGCTGTTTGACTTCATGAGAATCTTATTGACGTTTCTATCATTCATTGTTTTTGTCAGTCACGCACAAATACAAGAAAAGTATCAAGGCGAGTGTCAATTTGTTATTAAAATGAATATTTTGTAATTTTAGAACAACTTGATCAGCTATTATGCATACAAAATGATGGATGAAACAAAAAAAAAATAATAAAGACTTATCTAAGTAAAAGATAAACCTTATGAAAATCTTTGTTTCAGTATTTCTTCAATTGCTTAGATCAAAGACTATTAAGTCCATTTTATATGTAAGGAAACTATTTTGATAATGAGCTTTAAATACAGGATATGACAACTACCGGGCATAGTCTTAAATATATTGTTTTATATCTGCCAACGATCAATTAGAACTTATTTGTTATTTTTTTTTCTCATGATCCTAAATTGAATCTGTAACTATTTTCTATAAACTAATATAAAACTAAGTATTTCTCTAATCAGGATTTATACTTAGATATCTTATTGAAGGGAAGGAAATATAGGAAAGTTTATTAAATAAGAATAATGAATACGAAGTATAAAAAATTCAAAAAAAAAGAATACCATTGTGAATAGACAAATTAATTTGTTCAATAGCTAAGAATACTATTATAATATAGACGTTGGTATTCCTATTGTGTAAAGAAAAACAAAAATTATGAATTCTTGTCATATCCATGCTTGTTGATTGTTTATTTATAACAATATATTTTCGAATATAAAGACCGACCTTGCGCACAAAAACATATGTGTAGATTATTTTATCGATACGTGACACGTTAAACAACGAATGCCATATTCAATATATATCTATTTAGATCATAACTAATTGTTACTCCTCTATTACTGTTAGTCAATGCTCATTTTTTTTGTTTGTGTCTGTTAAAGAGAGCTACAGCTGAAAAGGAAGAGAAGAAAAACTAAAGGAAAACAATGATGATGTTTAATAAAAAAAAAACTCTATAAAGGTAAGAAAATATAAAAAACGTATTTCGCATGTCTTTTATCTTTTTGTAACAATAATAATATATCTTTCTATGACCTAGATATTTTATTGTATATATATATATATACATATATCACGAGAAGTGCAAAATATAGAGTAAAATGTGTTGTGTAGTATCTATTTAGAAAGATATTTTGTTCTATATATATACCCTCCTCTTCTTCTATATATATGTTCTTTCATTTTTATCAATGTGTAACTAGAGTCTTTGACAGTCGCTATAAAATAAGTCTGCCATCAATGCTGTAATATTAAATAGTCAAAGTTTATATGAAATGGAGCTAAAAAATCGACGAATAACGTTGTCATATTCTTAGTAATAAAATATTCTGTTGTTAACTGACTTACCTTTTCAAACTATACGATTATTGGATTTCTTCTATATGGATATAAATCTGTCATTTACATACTCCCCTTTCTGTTTGATGTATTAATCAGTGTATCCTAAGAAAATATATGTTTATACCTCATTGTCTGCTTTTTTTCTGATGGTATTTTCCTGCTAATTTTCTACTGCAAGACATTTCTATATTCATGAAAAAAGAAAATTTCTTTAAGACAATAAATTATTAACTTATATTTACAGATAAAATAAGAGAAAATTTCTCACATCATGTAATTACAAGCAAAAACAAAGACATAAACACTATGGATAGTTCGTCATTAAATGTTACTATTGATGATTTAGTTATTGATAATGCTCAATTCTATGAAACACTTCGTAAATCATTTAAACGTGATCCATTCGATCATTATGTTAATGGTGTTTGTGGTTTATTTATTTGTCTTCTTGGTACTATCAGCAATGCACTGAGTTTCTCTATTCTTATTCGAAGAACAATGCGCTTGTCAACTTATGTTTATTTGGCTGGACTTTGCCTAAGCGATTTTACTGCGTGTCTTTTTCTTATACCCAGTTGCATATTAGATGCATATCCTGTTGAAGTACCAGATTTTGAATTACCACGAACATATGCTTATACAAAATTACTTCTAATTACTGGTATTAGAAATGTTAAACAATGGATTTCGATTTATTTTTAATTATTTATTTAGGTGCAATTAGCACAACAGCTCGTGCTCTTAGTGTTTGGCTTTGTGTAGCATTCACAATTGATCGATGGATAAGTAAATACATTTTACTTTAAAATCAATGGATTTTGGATTATGTCTTTTTTTATTTTCATAGTGATATGTCGTCCATTTGTTGGTCCACTTTATTGTACAATAAAAAATGCACGATGTGTTACTTTGATGATATATATTGTTGGTATTTTTTATGCCGTTCCACTTATGTTTGAATATGAAGTACATGCAGACAGATCTTCATCAGAAATACTTGTTGTTAATCTTAATAAAAAAATTTATCGATATAGACTTAGTAAATTAGGAAGTAATTCAATATTTCGATGGACTTATGCTTTAATTAATGCACTTGGTGTTTATATTATTCCATTAATAGTTATTGCAATAGTTAATCGTAAATTACTTATATCCATTCGTTTACTTGAAAAACGTTCTGCTGAATATAATGCTCCATTGCCTACAAAACAAGGTAAATTTAAAAAGAATGAATTAAAAACAAACATTTGTTGAAGATCTTTTGCTTTTTTTTTTCGGTATAGTTATTATTTTCTGAAGAGTTATTCGATGTTTTAAGATGTAGTAATTATGTTCTTATTGAATTCTTTAATAAACAATATCGACATGATGTATCTAAAGCTTATTTCCTTTTTGCTATAAAAGAAAATGTCAAGATGTTTTCATTATGAAAAAAATCTATAGAAAAACAAAGTTGCGATTAATTTCAACATATTCATAATGACGTCATTCGAAGTGACTCTTGTCTTTCTTTAGAAAAAGAAATCTTCATTTCCTATCGAAGTACATATATTATTAGTTTTCTTTTTCATCTTGAATTTCTTCATCTGCTTACAAATTTAATTTTTTTCTCGAAAGTAGATAACAAAAGATTTTACATAATTCAATTTTAAAATAGTTTAAACAAGAAAATATGTATTATTTGTCTTAATATGAATTAAACAAACAAATAAAAATATGACTTCAGTAAATATCATATTATTTGATTTTTAGGTGTAACAATAATGTTATTAGCAACAACAGTAATGCTTCTCGTATTTCGTTCACCATCAGCAACAGTATCTGTTATGTGGTTAATTAGTGCAAAAACGTTCATTAATGATAAACCTCCATTTCGTTTACGAAAATTTCACTCAATTGCAAATCTCTGTGCAACATTTAATTCAGCAACAACATTTATTATGTTTATTATTTATGGTACAAAATTTCGTTCAGAATTTATGCGTATTTATTGTTTAATTTTAACTAAAGTTAAAAAACCAGAACAACTAAGTAAAATAAAACAAGAACAAGAACAACAAAGGCAACAATTAATATCAAATAGTAATAAAAATGATAATGAAAATCATAGAAATGATATTAAGAATAAAAATAATTTAGTGTTAACAAGTAAATCTAATTGTACTAATTATAAAGAATTATCAAAGAATCATAACAGTGCTACAACATTAACAACAACAACAACAACATCGGTTGCATCACTTCTGCCAATGAGACGTTTAAAAAATCAATCAAAAATACAACGATCTTCATTTGAACAAGAGTATGATTTAATAATAAGTCATAATCATAATCATACCAATCCTCTCCAACATGAAATAACAATTCCAGAAGATGAATTTAGTAGTGATCATCATGATACTAAATCCGTATCGTTAACTGGATCTTACTTTGATTGGTTTAAAAATTTTATTGAATGTCATCAATAATGATAAGAAAAACTTCATTAATTTTTGTTTTTGAATAGTATATTGAAATCTTCACTTTATAATTACATGCCAGTTTTTTTTTTTCTTTCACATTTTCTATGAAGTTTTTGCTAGATATTTATCAAGTCTGTATATATTTATACAATGTTGTTTAAAATTCATGGTATACATTTTATCAAAATATACGCATTGTTTTAGTTAGATTTTTTTCTTTGGAAGGGAACGATTTAAAACTTTGGGAGAGCGAACACCTATTTTTGGAGAGTATAGGCAAATAGTACACAACAGAGATGGGATCGGTAGAATTCGCACTATGTCAAATTAGTTTAGGTTTCGGTTCGATTTAAATTTTGAAAAACCTAAAAAGATCCCGTGTCTGATACATAGTACAATAATTACAAAGTTCAGAAGAACTAACCCATTTTTGAAAAGCTTTCATCTTTTCCTCACATTGGATAAGACATTAAATACATACATATTTCGTAATACAACATTGTATGTTTTAGAATTTCGAACATAAAAAGCATCCCGAAGCAAGTTTTTTACTTGTTTTTATAGTTAGAATGCTTGTAAATACTGATCTAAATTGAAGATCAAAAAAAATATTTCATCATGAAATTTACGTTCATTCTTATATTAAGTTTATAATCAATTTTAAGTTAATTTGAAAAATATCAATTCGAATATTTTTTTCAATCTAACGCAAGAAAATTACATCGAAAAAGAACTTATACTAGATGGTGTTCAACTATAAAATGTGAGGTACGAGTTGTTAAAAAGTTCGTCTTGATATTTGTTAGGCTTTATGTAAAATATTTTCGGAAAACAAGAACATCTATTGGATGTACGATCAATTTTGAACGATATTATATTTATATTTTGTTATTGGTCAGTACAATTTTTTAAAGTAGGTTTTAAATATACATAAGAATAAAAAATACATTATTTATGAGCAAAAGAAGAAAGTCATGAAATTTATAATGAAGGGGAAAAATATTAATCAAGTAATGTTTATTCATGACGACATATTATATATCTCTAATAAAAAGAGTACCTAATTTTAATCCTACTATAAAGGTCGACCAAAGTACATGATTTAAAAATAAAACTGTAGTATGATTCACCTTCACTTCATTAAAATCGAATCAGAATCAGTGTAAGATATAAGTAATAAATAATGCTTTTCTTTTCTTATACATTATAGAAAACAGCTGTCGCATTTTTTCCTTTCTGACATCCTTGAGACGAAAATAGAATATGACGCCACTTTATAGGATCAATTACAAAGATATAAAGAAGTTGCTTTGATGACCTTCAAGCATCTTACATTTGCTAATAAACAACTCCATAATATCTGGAAAAGTATTATAAATTAGATCGATTATTTCATTAGTACATGTAAACATTTCTATTTCCACTACGAAATATGTTTCTAGTAGTCATCTGCACCCTGGTCATGGCTATGGTCACGATGCAGGTCTCTATCCTCAGATCATGTCGAAAATTGACTTTCGAGTTTCAATTTCGACCTTGGCATGGACAAAGTTCTCAATGAAATTAGTTCATTGAGCAAGTTGTAACTTTTCTAGCATTTCGCATCCTGAGATATTCAATATTCGAGATTCTTTCATGTCTAAAAGAAAATTTTGTTCAAATATTTACATCTGCAAAATGAAAATAATAGAAAAGCTAAAATTTGTACAATCAACTAATATCATTAAGAGCTTTGTTTGCACAAAGTTCGAAAACCAAGCTTATAAGATGATTTTCCACGTGATTTGAGAGGAACGATAGCTCTTTTGTTAAAAAACCTATTCAAATTTTGATAGTATGAAAAATGAAGAGCCGGAAAACCAAAATATTCTATACTTTTCTATTTTTCTCTTGCGCTTATCAAATGAATAACGTCTTAGTCGAAAAGCGATCTGACACTTGAAGGGTTTCCTCGTCATATGCAATCATTATCGAAATCACAAAATAGAATTGTTCATAAGTTAAATTTTCTTATGTATACATTTCATACAACTAAACTTTCGAAAAGAAAAAAAAATAACGATTATTTATCTGATACAGAGTAACATTTACTATAATGAGCGATAGAGAAATGAGTTAATTTTAAAATTTTTTTTTTCAAATGAAAGTCTGAATAATCTAAATTATGACTAGATAGAATTGAATATGAATTTTAAAAACTTCGTAGTATTATAATTTTCTTCAGATGATACTTTTTAACTAACACAGAAAATATTTAATGACACTCATCAGAAATAATACTATGTAATTGTATAGGACAGAGACAGAAACTAAGAGTTTTGCTGAATATAGTTGATGGAAACACTAAAATTTATTACTGACTTTCTATGTAATAATTATTGAAATCAAAGAATAGAATGAGAAGGAAAATATTGAATATCTTGACAAGTTGTTCACGTTTTTCATTCATGTTAACTGTACAATCAAAATAGTTTTCGATTGTTTCGAATATAAAATATGACTGCACTATTATTCGCATCAACATTTGTTAAAAGCGACATATTATTAGAGACATTTATTTTATCTACAAGCTAGAGAAAGCTAATATAGAGAGATAAGTAATTTCTTAAGAAATCTAATCAATTAAAACTCATCTGTTAAATATAATTTAATTATATAAACTAACGATTAAATCTTAATCAACATTAAGTTCAACAAGTCTGTGAATTTGTTTTTCATTGTAGTTTATTAGATATAGACGTGTTGTATGGCATTAATAAAATTGAAACACTGAGTACATATTGTCGAAAAAGACTACCTTATTGCACTACTTCATTCTGGTCTTTTTTCTTCTAACGGTACCAATTTTTAGTTCCATTTAACACAGAGTTTGTATACATATACATAATTGGAAAAAATAACAATTATTGTAATGTATAATCAAATTATGTTGAACATATGTCAACATTGACAAAACATTGTATATAGAATTCTACAGATATTATTATAATGAAAATACGAAAAAATCTATTAAGAGAATAAATACTTTTCTAATGTGCTGTCTTTCATTATTCATTTGATGTATAAAACACTAAAAGCAGTCACTGATATCGATGAGTATTTTTTCACGACTTGGTACATATTTATGACAAACTCAAAAAAAAACACGTCTTTTCTTTTGTATTAAATAATACAACAGGAACTATATTTTATTGTAAATAAGAATGATGTGCTTCTCTCTCATCATAGTACAGTTAAATGACAAAATATTCAAGCATAATAGTTGCAGGAATAAAGTCGATGAATCAAAGCAAAGTGAAGACAAGATTACATCTATAGGATTTAATACGGGTAACAATATCTAATTATCAAATACAAGCAGTGGCGTAGCCAACCATGAATCATTGGGTGATTGTCCATAGGTTTTGTTGAAGGTGGTGACAGCTGCCGACTAGAATTTGAAAGTTCTGAACATTATCAGAAACCGACATTGGAAACACGGTTTTGGTTACTAAAAATGAGAAAAAAAAAGTGTTCTGTTTCATTTCCTAAAATATCACATGAAATCAAAATCGTTAAATCGTCAGATAGATACGAAAAATTTCAAACTATATAGTTTGAGAAATTTTCACTATTAAATTGTTGAGATTAAAGACGCTAAATATTTCATTACTTAAACAAAACAATATTATACATATAAATTAAAATTTTTAATATTCAAGAGTGAAAAAATGAAGATTGTTCGATTTCGATTTAAGAATTTTTATTTCTATCTAATGATCTGACGGTTCCCGTTCAATAATCAGTTTCAATCTTTTGGAGCTTCGCGAACATGTGCAAGTTTTGTAAACAATTTTTTTCACAATTTTTATCAACATCAATTTCTTACGTAATCAAAAATATTCATATGGAATAGAAGAGTGAAAAAAATTGAGATAAAAACTTCGTTCTTGTTGTTTTTTATTGTAAATATACAAAATATACATATGCTTATAAAACAAACCAATCATTTTAGAGCAAAAAAGACGCAATGAAAGAAATAATTTCCATCTGTAAAAAAAAAAACATGCTATCGTTCGGTAGTCAACAAAGAGTTGGTTATAGCTAAAGCAGTTTGAGTTCTTTTACGATTTCATTCAATAGATACAATGAATAGCATTCCATTTCGTGATGTGAATATATTCTCAATCATTGACTGCTAGTAACAATGAACACAACATTATGTTCAAAATACTTCAATTGACATTAAAGACAACGGAAGTAGCTTTTTAACATTTTCTTTTACTTTAGATTTATACTACACACTTGATATTCAATCTAAAATTTATTCGATACTTTTCTGATATTACTTTTGTAGATATTCAGAGACATTTTTATTTTAGACAAGAATGTTGAATGAAAATCAACTAAAGTGAATTGAAAGGTAAAAACAAATAGTTGATTACTACACGATAGTTGTTAAGAGATTGTGTTAACCTTTTGAGGATAAAAGAAAAGATATGGATGCAGTTTCATCTGTATGAGGCTGCTTTTGACTTTCTATTACAAAGTTTGAAGATTTTGTTGAGAACAATGTGGTAATACAATGATTCTCCAATGGTGCTTATATTATATGATTGTTATGTAAGAATATCAAAAAAAAAGAAATATACCTGACAGTTTTTAAATTGTTAAAGAACAGAAGAAAAAAGTAAAACAAAATAATGTTTTACTGATTGTGATCTTATTAATCGAGTGATTGTTTGCTTTTTTGTTGTGCATCAATTAAATGAAAAAGAAAAGAAAAAAAAGAAAAGAGATTCATTCGTTTAGTAATCATGCCATAAGATGTCAAAAGAAAAACGTCACAAGAAGAAACATCACCATGGTGCAACAGATGAGAATAAGAAGACAAATGAACATTCGACGAGTCAATTATTCAGTGAAGCAGATGCTAAATCTATCGACACCTCTGGTTATTCAATGAGCCATGGAGCACTTCAAACCAATCGATTCATGCAAGAACGCACAATACCGACAGGTGTTGG